TTTTAAAACACTCTTAACCCATTCTTTAAGCATTAACTACAGGTGAATCTCCATATTTAACCCTTAGCCCTGAGAGTGATCAGCGTTAAATTTCTCCTTGTAATATCAATGCTTTGTAAAACAGAGTGGTCATGAGAATTACAGACATGATCACACAAGATGAATTTGCTACATGTAGATGTTTTATCAACTACTCCCCACTACTTCTATAGGAAATGAATAGGGACAACACATGAGAAGTCAAGTTTTGATCTTAGGGCTTAAAGGGTTAAGCAGCCGCTTACAGTGTACATGTATTAAGTGGCCGTACTCTATTACGTGGACAGTAATCAAAGTGCCAAAATAATTGTGGAATTAAGAAAAAAATCGTAAATCAAACCTTTCCACCTCTTGACCATCCCAACTGAAGTTCTTTTATTGTCTTCTTTTATTGTATACACTTAGTTTGGCTTAAAGTAATTATAATGTAGGAAAATGCAGACTGTGATGAAAGAAGAGCACTGATTGTGGACCGGCAGTACTGCTGCTCCCATCACGTGTTTGTTTCAAAATACAGTGATGTTTCCACTAAAGATTATAAAATCTATGATGAACCTCTAGTGAGCGGCAATCCTCTATAAAGCGGCCAGTACCCTGAGGGAGGTTACATAATGGAGATTCAACTGTATCTTGATACAGCTATTTTCAGAGAAAGTTGTTGAAAAAAGTGCACCCAACAATCTCGAAAGGTATTGTAGGTGGTTTTGAGGGCACTGTTCTTCAAAGAAATTTGAAAGAATGGCATGGAAGGCCACAGACATATCTTTGCGAGTGCTAAAGGAAAGCAACAAAAGTAGGTTCAATAGCTATAGTGTCAGGAACAGTGTATTGATCATATCCCATATTACCTTTCGTGATTGTCGCACGCACATTTTTTTGTGAGAACCTTTCTCAAAATAGCTGTATACACTGTATGTAGTCTTGGAAGAAAAATTTAATGTTGCCATTGACAGTGGTTGGTCCTGGTGAATACTGTTGGCAACAGTAGAGTGCCCTATGAAATACCTCAAAATTCCGAAAATAAGCCCCAGGGCTTATATTTCTCAAAGGCCCTTTTTGAGGGGCTTATTTTTGGAGGGGCTTATATTCGGAGGGGCTTATGTACTGAGGGAAATAAAATATTTGCGTTTCAAAATCCATTGGGCTAGCTTGTAGTGGGAAGGAAATTTACCAGTTTTGCTTTGTTTTACTTTGTATTCGAGGGCAAATTCCAAGAACAAGCCCCCCGAGGGGCTTATATTCGGAGGGGCGATTTAATGGAGGGTTTTTTGCATTACGATTTTGGGGGGCTTATATTTGGAGGGCCTTTATTTACATAGAGGGGCTTATTTTCGGAATTTTACGGTATTTAGAAGAGCATCTAAAGTTTAGTTTTGAACATCTTCAGACATAAAATACATGGCGAATCCTGGTTGGATTTTTAAATTTGCCACTCAGACCAAAAGATTTTAGTGTCCCACAAAGCTACTTTACCATTTACAGTTATGATAATCTTGTAGCTAAAATCCATTCTGAGGTTGTTCAAGCCAGAATTTCCTTTGTCTCCTACAGTATGAATACATAGAGGATATTACATGGTGGCACAAAAATATGAATTTTATTTGCAAGTGGCAAAACAATATTTTACGAACAAGCGCAGCGAGTGAGTAAAATATTGTTTTTGCCACTCGAAAATAAAATTCATATCTTCAAGCCGCCGTGTAATGTTCTTTTTATTATATAGACAAAAAGACATTGATAAAATAATAAAGGGAAATGACTGAAATTACGTCATTGATAAACTCACATGTAAATTTAGGAAAATATACCACTCAGGTCCCGGATGTAGTGTTTATGAATTTTACGAGTGGTATATTTTCCAGTAAAACACTCGTGTCTATAAAATAATGTGCTTTATGTTTACATATGTATGCTTGTATTGTACATTCAAAGCAGCCTTAATCATTGTATTAATGATCAATGATATTCAATTCAATGATTTTCAATAGTATTTGTTCTCTGA